GTAATATATTAATTTGAATAGCAATCTATATTTTTTTAGAAATTGCTTCTAGAGCACACATTTGAAAATGCTTTTTTAAAAAGTGTTTTTTATTAAATAAACACTGAAAATGAATAAAGCTGCAAGAGGAAGTAAAAGGTTTGTTTTAATGGATATATAATGGATTATTTTAATGATGTATGTGTGTGTATATATATTCATAAACATTACATATTTCAGGGCTGAAAAAGAAAAAAATACTTTGCAGAAGAAACTCAAAAGCTGCAATGTTACTGTTGACCACGTTATGGGAGTCAGAGCATCTGAATCAGAGCGAGAATTAGAAGAGCTTCGTAAACAAAATATGGATCTGGAGAATGAGATTGTTCACTTAAAGTAAGATAATTTTATTATCTTAGGCATTGAGTGAAGCTGTTGTTAAGTAAGATGTCATGTGACTGTCCATGTAATTGCTTTACTCAATTACTGCAATCCCAGCACTTCCGGTTGATGATGTTAAGTGATCACGCATGTTGTTAAGCAAATGAAGTCCCTGGTAAGAAGTGTGGGATGTCACTGGAAGGTGGGGTAGGCTCTGGGAGGTTCTGGTCAGTGGCTGAAAATCCTCGCCGCCAGAATCCAAGCAGAATTTTCAGCCGCTGAGAAAAACTCATGCACACCTGCACCAAGCCAGCTAAAGGTACCCTAACTGAGGTACCTCATGCACCTTACTTATGGCGCTGGCTCTCTGCTTTCTGATTGTCTTTTCTGTAGGGGCTGGCTGAAAGAACTGCCTGTGTCTTTCCCTGGGTGGAAGGAATCAGCTTCAACAGGATGTAGGAACCAAGCTCAGATCTTCAGGCTCTGACTCGTGTTTCTCTACCCCTCTGAAAGAGTTAAGATCCTTTCGATGCATAGAAGGGAACTCAGAGGTGGTATTCAGCAGGTTCTGACCAGTTCTGGAGAACCGGTAGCAGAAATTTTGAGTAGTTCAGAGAAGTACCACCCCAACAGGAGATTTTGCAGTATCCTTCCCCTGCCATGCCCACCAAACCACGCCCACAGAACCGGTAGTAAAAAAAATTTGAATCCCACCACTGAGGGAACTCCTTTGGAAGGGTGCAGAAATGGAGTTGAAATGATCAGGATCTGAATTTCATTTCTCCACCCCACAAAAAGGAAGCTGACATTCTTTGACAGGCAGCTCTTTCAGACAGCCCCTTTACTAAAAAGGAATACCAAAAGGGAGCTGCATCTGATGAAGTCAGCTATAGCTCATGAAAGCAGAAAACTTCAAATAAAATTTAGTCTTCATTTAGCAACCAAAATTAGGATTGGCAACTTGGTCATTAAGCAAAGCAATTACTAAGTGAAAATCATGTGACTGCAGCTATGCTTACTATTTTACATCAGCTTTCATTTGACTTACAGTGTCAGAATACAATCCCAAACAGCTCGGAAATTTTCCAGAACTTGACTCAAATCATACTCTTCTTTCTTCACTCCTCTGTTTTTTGGAATCAACCTGATGCTGGGATAATTAGAAAGAAGGAAATTAATCTTCTTTTTACATTTATTGGAGAGAAAGGGATTACTAGAGAGTAAGCAGGCAAACAATGGGGAACACACAACTCTAAACTTAACTGCTGCTGTTTGCCTAATGAGGTGCTTAGGAGGCAAACAAAAGCCTTTAATATAAAATTTAAATTTTAGCCAGAAGGGAAGAGTTAAGTTCACAAAGCTGAGCATGTTAAGTTGCAGTTAGCACTTTTAGAGATGCATTGAAGAAAAAAGCAGCATAGGAAGAGATAGCTTGTTTAAGAAATCTCTCCACTCTTGTAAGGAGAGGGCGGGTGGGGAATGAATCAGGCACAGACCAATGTGTACTGATGAACACCTGACACAGTGTAATGGTGAACACCTGACACAGAGACAGAGACAGACAGATAGACATTGTAAGGGTTATAAATATGGGCATCGGTGTCGAAGTTACTTTTTCATCACTGTTGTAACTGAGTGATTGCTGTCTGAGGCTGTCACTAAGTGAGGATTACCTGTAAACATTTCAGTACTCACTTTTGCTCCTTCATTTAGGGAGATCAGTATATGGAGAACCATTCTGAAATGCATATGTTGACATATTTTTTTCTTCGAAAATATTCAGTGATTTTTAAGCTAGCTTCCAATTCAATGTGATAATACTCCTGTTGATGATTGATGTTGAAAAATTGAATAAGTCTGATTTTTTAATATCTGGATGGAGAATTTTTGATGAAATATCAGGACTGGATTAGGGACAGTTGAGAAACAATTGAAAAGAATGACAATTTTGTATTTTTGCCAATAATTCATTGAAAATGTATGTAAAGTCAGAAGTCCAATCTAACTCAAAGAAGACTTTTTCTTTTTATCTAATGTTTTTGATTAAACCAACCTTATCTCAAAGTCACATGAACATAAGCCATTTCTTTATATGAAATATGAATCACTTGTCAAATTGTTCTTAAATAATCTTTTCATTTGTATATCAAGAACACAATATGCTGTCCCTCGAGATACTGTTGTAGAAGATTTGCACTTAAAAAACAGATATCTACAAGAAAAACTACTAGTACTAGAGAAACAGCTTCCCCGAGAAACTTGTTCAAGGCCATCAGTAAGTTAAGCTTATAATCATACTTTTTCAAGATAAAATTCATTGCTATAGTAGATTATAAGTTCCAATGATTTTGTCTATTTTATGATTATTTTAGTACAATATTTTTGTGTTACAGTTTTGAACATAGCACCAGCAATTATAATAGTATATTTATGCCACTTATTATTTAGAGAGCCAGCTTGGTGTAATTGATCAGGCATTAGGCTCGGAAACCAGGAGAATGAGTTCTAGCCCACTTTAGGCACAAAGCATCTGGGTGATCTTGGGCTATTCCCCTAGGAAAGAGGCAATGGCCATCCACTTTTGAAAAACCCTCGTCAAGAAAAGTTCAGGAAATCGTCCTGTAATTGTCCATAATTGGATATGATTGAACAGAAGGAAAAATATTATTGTATTTATGTTGTTTCTGTAAACTATTCAGGTTGCTGAAGTCTTTTAAATAATAGATATCAGTCTTTTAAATAATAGATTGTAGATTTACTTTTTAGACATCTTCAAATTTATATGCTGCCTTAGCAAGATCATGTTTTGAATAAAAAGTGCAAATAAGTTTGAAGGGATTATATACACATTTTCTTTATAGTAGCAGTTGCTCCTTTGCTTCCTGTGTTCAGAATTATGGATAATATAATTAAGGTTCCATTAAATATTCTTTAATAATTAAAGCATTATTTATTCTTTAGTACTATTGCTATTTGTAAAATATCTTAAAATGCCAACTGTTAAGCTTTTAAACATTTACTATCTTATTCTTCTGAAGACATCAGGGATAGGATCAGATGATCAACATCAGAAAGAACAAGAGCTTCAAAAGGAGAATCTAATATTGTCATCTGAAAATATGGAGTTACGATTCCAGTTAGAACAAGCCAATAAGGACTTGCCAAGATTAAAGGTCTATTTTTATTTTATGAATCTGATGGTCTGCAGAAATTTAATGTTTCATATTTTTAAAAATGAATTTGTAACAACTGCTTAGATATATCAATGGATCAATTTCTCTCTCTCTCTCTCTCTCC